ATGTCATCTTGTTGGCAATTTAATTTATAGAAAACTTTTACATTTTCAGAGAGTAAAAATGTTATTTTCATTGCCTTTTTAGGAGAAAAGTGACACTTTTATACAAAATGACATTTTTTTGTTGATCATTGACGAGACTTGTCTGAGGCAACCCTATAGCGTATTGGAAAATCCTCGCTCAAAAGTTGTAGATCTGAAACTATCACAGCCGGTCTTAGGGTTGAAGGGTCACAGTCGGTTGAGTGGTCTCAGGGGACCACTCTTTACCGGGGAGACAACTTGAGGTGTCATACCGGTCGCGGTGCACTATGTGGCATGTGCTGCTTCATTTGGACCGAGGAATCTTTTCCCATCGAGCTAGGACGAGGGACTTTTGGCGGACGCGAAGCTTCTATTTGTTGTATAAGGCGTTGTTTCCTTTAATTAAGGGTAAAGTAAACAAAATGATGAAGGATGGAATGTTTCGTGTCTATTACTGAGCATATACAGAACACTTTATACTGCCCAAGTTTCTCTAATTTAGGTAACTAAATATACACCTAATAAATACATATCAAAATCAAATATCTGTTATAAATAAGAATATTGTCTAATAACACCCTCAAAGATGTACGGACTATTGACAATGATGTACATGTGGATGATGTGTGGTTATCAGTGGAGTCCACCATTAACAACGTGACGAAGAAGATACTCGGAGAATCTAAAGGTTGTCTGCCACAAAAAAAGGACACGTCTTGGTGGAACGATGAGGTGAAACAAGCAATAAGTACCAAAAGGGAATGCTATTAGAAATTGGGAAAAAGTTGGAGCGACAAGAACATAGAAGAGTACAAGGCGGCTAGAAGAAGAGCAAAGAAAGCTGTGAAGGAAGCTAGAGGAAAGGTGCACAAGGAATTGTATGTAAAATTGGACTCTAAGGAAGGAGAAAAAGATATCCACAGACTTACTCGCCTTCATGACCGTAGGACTCAAGATATCGGAAAAGTTAAGTGTGTAAACGATGTCGATCAAAAGATACTATTTGAGGACGAGGAAATAAAAGAGAGGTGGTCATACTTTGATACCTTGATCAACGGGAATAAACTGCGAGGTATTGATGATCTTACTATACCAGAGTGTATGAAAAATTGGCACTTCGTGAGAAGGATTCAAACAACAGAAGTCAAAGAGGCTATGAGAAAAATGGGGAGGAAGAAAGCAGTTGGCCCAATTGGCATACCGATCGAGGCTTGGAGAAGTTTGGGGGAGAGAGGCATTGAATGGCTAACAAATTTCTTCAACATGATTTGGAGAAACAACAAAATGCAAGTGAGTTGGCGGAAGAGTACTCTCATTCCCATATTTAAAAATAAGGGTGATGTACAAGAATGTGCCAACTATCGAGGAATTAAGCTTATGAGTCACACCATGAAACTGTGGGAGCGAATGGTTGAGCAAAGACTTTGAAAAAGTGTGCAAATTTTGGAGAACCAGTTTGGTTTTATGCCAGGACACTCAAAAACTGAGGCCATTCACCTTCTTAGACAAGTTATGGAGAAGTATAGAGACACTAAAAAGAATCTGCATTTGGTGTTCATTGATTTAGAAAAGGCATATGATAGGGTACCTTGAGAAGTCCTTTGGTGGGCCTTAACTAGAAAAGGCATATCACGTATTCACGTAAGTATATCACTATCATCATGGATATATATGATGCTTGTATTACAAGTGTCCGCACTAGTGTAGGGAGGAAAACAGAGTTCCTTATTACTATCACAGTGCACCAAGGATCTGCCTTGAGTCCTTTCTTATTTTCTATAGTCATTGATGAACTTACGAAGTCAATTCAAGAAGATATATCGTGGTGCATGATGTTTGCTGATTATATTGTATTGATTGATGAGACGTAATCCAGTGTTAAAGAAAAATTGGAAGTATGGCGACAAACATTAGAGACCAAGGGTTTGAGACTGATCTGAAGCAAGACTGAGTACATGGAGTGCAAGTTTGGTGGAGGTAGAAATAGTAGCAATAGTGGGATTACTCTTGATGGTAAGAAGACCGTTTGAAGAATGAGATAATCAGACAAAAGGTGGGACTAACACCTATAGAAGATAAGATGTAGGAGTCTCCTTTACGATGGTTTGGGCATGTGCGTAGAAGTCCGAGTGATGCACCTGTTAGATGACTTGAGTGGTGGGGAGAAGAGGCAGATAAGAGAGGGAGGGGAAGACCCAAACAGACATTGATTAGAGGAATCAGAATTGATATGCGTCTTCTTGGTTTGGATGAGAGTATGGATTTGGAGAGAGCAGAGTGGAGGGCGCACATTCGTGTGGACAATTGATGTATTTTCTACCTTTCCTCTCTTTTCTCTTTTATCGTTAATCTTGTTTATCTTTTAATATTCTAATGTTCTTTTTATGAAAGAAACGATTGCTGGCAATATCCAATCCCGCATGACTATCACAGTGCAACGGAACAGAAGAGAATTGTGGAACACCGAAATTTGCTAATACGTTTAGTAACCACAAGATTTCACATGTAGCGGAAGCCATAACACGGTACTCAGCATCACCCGAAGAGCGTGAGACTGTAGCTTGTTTTTTAGTTTTCCAAGAAATTGGAGATCTTCCAAGAAACACAAAATAAGCAGTAAGAGATCTTCTACGCAGAGGGCAACTCGCCCAATCTGTGTCACAATATGCTTCTAGAGTCAAATCTGAATCTGGTCGAAGTAAGATCCCTTGACCCAAGCTGGACATTAAGTGGTGCACCACACGAAGTGCTACCTCCCACTGGGACTCGGTAGGAGTCTGCATGAATTGTGCCAAAATATGAAATGAGTAACAGAGTTCGGGACGGGTGATAGTAAAATAGATCAGACGTCAAATTAGACGCTGATAGCTCGCATGATCTTTCATAGCAACGTTACAAGCGAGTGCCAAATGATGATTTTCTTCCATAGGTATACTCGCCGGTTTGGCTCCTAAAAGACCAGTTTCAGAAAGAATATCAAGAGCATATTTGCGCTGACAGAGAAAAATCCATTTAATAGTGCGGACTACCTCAAGACCAATAAAATATTTAAGCTTGCCCAGATCCTTCATATGAAAACAATTGCTAAGATAGGCCTTGAATTTAGTAATACCCTCGTTATTATTTCCCGCAATGACAATATCGTAAACATAGATTAAGATGTTGATAACAACGAAGCCCCTCTCATACATAAATAATGAGTGGTTAGAAGAACTTGAAACAGAACTATAATGACGCAAAGCAATAACAAGTTATGCGTACCAACAGCGAGGTGCTCGACGTAGCCCATAGATAGATTTTCAGAGACGGAAAACTTTACCAGGGGTGCCGACATGAAAACCAGGAGGAAAAGTCATGTAAACTTCTTTAACAAGATCTCCATGCAAAAAGGCAATATCAACAACCCTCTGATGCAATTCACAATGCTTTGTCGCATCAACGGCGAGAAATGTGTACACAGTAACCATTTTAACGGTGGGAGCAAAAGTCTCAGTGAAGTCAACACCCTCAACTTGTCGATTTCCAACAATGACCAAGCGAGCCTTGAAGCGTTTAATGTTACCATCAGATCTAGGCTTAATGCAATAGACCCACATACAACCAATAGCAGACTTCCCAAGAGGTAAGTCTTCAACTGTCCAAGTGTGATTAGCTTCCAAGGCACCAACTTCTTCTTTCATAACCTTGCGCCAGCGTGGATCACGCATGGCCTCTATGAAGGAGGTAGGCTCAGTTTCTGCTTGCAGAGCTGCAATAAACTCACAATGGGCAACATAAAAAGCATTACCACTAACAAAATGTAAAATAGGATACATGGTTCCTATGGAGAGAGAGGGGTGTGGGAAACATCGGTGGGGGGAACCAGAGTGGTATAAGTAGCATAGTCTCGGTGACAAACATTCTCAAATTTCTGACGTTTTCCCCGACCAAGGTTGTTCTCAATAGGTGCCTCACTAGTAGTGGCCGTATGTTCAGAATCACTAGTTAAGTTCTCCCGGGGTTGAGAACTTGTAGCTGTTACTGGATCTGTGTCAATGAAAGAGTGTATTGAAGATTGTTCACCTGGACTAATTATTTCTTCAGCAGCAACGTTCCCTTGGGTCGACGACATCTCCTGCTCGGTGGAGTAGGTGTCTGTATCTTGATCAATAAAAGTAATGGGGGTAAAAGTTTCAGCATTCTGCTCATGATGATATGGACCCATAACCGAGGAAAAAGGAAACTTATCTTAATAAAAATTAACATCACGAGAGTGAAAATAGTCGTCGGTGTCCAAGTCATAGAGACTCCATCCTTTCTTTACAAAAGGATATCCGATAAATATACACCATCGACTCTGACTATCAAATTTATCTTTTGGATGTAATGCTTTGGCATAACAAAGGCATCCGAAAACACGAATATGATTTAAGTCACGATGCTTATCAATTAATTCAAAAGGGGTTTTTCCTTGGAGCACCCGAGAGGGAGTGCGATTTATCATGTAAGTAGCAGTGAGCATGCATTCACCCCAAAAATCAATTGACAAACTAGATTGAAACCGTAATGCATGAGATACATTAAGAATGCGTCGATACTTACGCTCGGCCCGCGCATTTTGTTGTGGCATTTGGATCATCGACGTTTGATGTATGATGCTGTTTTCAAGAAAATAAGTACTCAACCTTTTGAATTTTGTGCCATTATCACTTCATATAATCTTGATTTTGCGGTCAAATTATCGCTCAAGTAAAGCAAAGAAATTCAATATGATATAAGGAACATCACTCTTGTTCTTCATGAGATAAACTCAAACACTTCTAGAATTGTCATCAACAATCGTCAAAAAAAAATCGTGTTACAAGAACGATTCGCTATGTAAGGTCCCCATACATCACAATGAATCAACTCAAATAAATTATTTGCTTTACTATCGCTTAAAGAAAACACTTTACGAGTTTGTTTGGCACGATGACATACATCACAATGTTTATTTGTAGGCCTGCTTAACTCTTTTAAATTAGTGCCAACTTGAGGTAAAAATTCCAATACCCGCATAGAAGGATGTCCAAGACGCTTGTCCACCCACACCAATTGTCGTCCTCAAGGTAAGGTCCTGTATAACTCAATTTGCATGAGTAAATTTTATGCTTAATCTATTGTCCCGTAGTAAAGTCGACACCGATAATAAATTGGAGGTGAAATCGGGCACGAAAAATGCATTCTTTAGAACGAGTTGATTAACGACAACAGGACCAATCTTTTTTGCTTGTGTTGAGCACCCCGTTGGTAAACCAATATCTGTAGGTGGTATAGTAAAAAAATAATCAAATAAATTTTTCATTACAACACACATTATGAGAAGCCCCAGCGTGAAGCGAAAATTATTTTCGAAATTGTGTGACCACATTTGCCTTTGGTTGGTGACCTGTAACAACACTAGTATGTTGTTCATTGTTTCTTGCTTCAGAACCTCGTCCACGACCTGCTCCCTTGCGTATGTCTTCCCACCTTCAGGATTGCATCGTTCTTGAGTATGACCTGTACGAGAGTAAAATGACACAATAAAGGTGAGCGAGTTCCTCAGCTTGAACCTCATCCAGAAGAATTGCCACCGCGGACAACAAAGCTCATAGGTGGGGCTACATTTGTTCTGCCAGTAGTTACCAGCCGCACCTCCTGTTCTTGAATTAAGCGCCTGTATTTAAACTGGGAAGAGGTTGAACGGAAAGTTGCATAATATGCTTCAAGCCCCATCAGAAACTCTAAACCTGGTTAGCTTCACGTCTCTTGCACAAAGTGGCAGATATTCCACACTTACACCTAGCACAAGTACACATTTGTTAGGCATACAAATCATTTAAATCATCCCACACTTTTTTCAACCCACCATAATAATTCATTATGGACTCGCCACTCTTCTGTCTGCAATCAGCTTTTATTTGATAAATTTTAAATCGTTTCCAACAGAAAAACGTTGTTTGATATCCTCCCACAACTCGTGCGCTACATCACGATAAGAGATGGAAGAACGCAAACCTGGATGGATGGTGTTGAACATCCAAGCAATAACCATCGAGTTTAGCGCCCACCAATTTTCAAGGTGGGGAGAGTCTTTCGAAGTCCCATCGACGAACATGAATTTGCGGTTCGCTCGGAGAGAGATACGGACACCCCTGGCCCATTCCTCATAGTTCGGTCCTCTCAAAATGACATGAGTAATCACTGTCCCGAGATTGTCGTTTGGATTGAGAAGAAACAGAGGATTCGGTGTTGAATCTTCCTTGTTTTCATCGGACAGAGGTGTCTAAACTGGCTCTAACGCCATAAAGTAAAACAAAACAATGAAGGAAAGAATGGAATGTTTCGTTTCTATTACTGAGCGTATGTAGAACACTTTATAGTTTATACAGCTCAAGTTTCTCGAATTTAGGTAACTAAACATACACTTAATAAATACATATCAAAATCAAATATCTGTTATTAATAAGAATATTGTCTAATAGAGGGGTTGTAAGGAATAATTGTATTTAGATTTTGATGATGCTATATCCATTAGGACTTTAGAAGTACCCCTTTAGAAATGATGTATTAGAATTTTCCTTTGTAAAAATTCTTAGATGTATTCGACTTGACAGAAGTGCTTCAAGAACAGAAGGGCTCCCAGAGCAGAAGTGCCTCTTAAGGCTTTGTTGGAACAGAGGACCCTTGGTTCTCTGCTCCAGAACAGAAGTCCTCTGGACCTCTGTTAGTATTGACTCTGACAGAAACCCTTCTGGGTCACTGTTGGCTACTCCCAACAGAAGTGCTCCAGACCTCCTCTTTTATACTCCATGATAAAGACACCAGAAGGTCTGACACTTAGAAGATTTTCAAAGAACCAGGAAGTCAACTTAAAGATTCCTTCAACGGCTAGGAGTATAAAACGGAAAAGCTACAGTGCATGCATTAAATGCTCATTTAATGCACCCCATGCTACGTAGAGTAATTGCAGATGATTGGCCGAAATGTCAGGAATACTTTATCCCAAAATAGTAACCCGCCAACCTTACCGGGCTCTACTAGTCAAGTCAACTGATCGCTCATTTAATGCAGTTGTCCTTCTACTCCTCCAACGGGAAGACAACCTCAGTATAAAAGATACACTACGAAGAACAACCGAATAACTTTGCCATAATTCTGCAACCACATTGCTAACCAAACAAGATATTCAAACTCTGAAAAGCAAAAGCCTCCTTGAGATTCAAACTTATTATCCTCTACAAGAGAAGGCAGAAGTTGGAAAAATACTCTTTCCAACTCAAGCAAAGTTCCAAGTGTTCTTCAACTCTTCAAGCTCCTCACCTACACATATTTTGTAACGAAGCTAGTTGGAGGAACCTCAGTTTCAACAGAAACTCTTCTTGCTACAAGAAGGACGTCCAAATAACTGGAGTAGTGAAGTGGTGATACTTCAAGGAGACTCAGTGAAAGGACCAGTGTTAAAGGAAGCCAGGCAGTGCATCCCAGGACACATCTAGACTAGAAGAAGACGTGGAGTGCTTCTTAAGTGCTAGGACTAAGGCTTTGTAAACGGCAGTTTTTACAACTTAGTGGAACAGTGGATTAGAGGAACGAGTTGTTCCTTGAACCACTATAAAAATCCCTGGTGTCGTTTACTTACTGCTTTTAATACTTGCACTTAGATAGAACTGTATAACTCCTTGGACTTGGTATCTGTGTTCAGCAGAACTGGTTCTACGAGTTAACAGAAGGCCTTCTGCCTTTGCTTCTCTGAGGCTAACAGAACTCCCTGCCAGAACCCCATCTGCTGCCAGTCTGTTCTTTCAACAGAACAGGCTATTCTGAAAATCTGGTACTTACTCAAAAAAACAAAAAACCAATACAGTCTATTCACCCCCCCCCCCCTCTAGACTGTATCCAGTATAACCGGGACCAACAAGTGGTATCAGAGCCTCCTTGTTCTAATAATCTCTTAGGTTATTTGTTGAACAAAGATTCACTTGTCTTTCTGTTTTACCTCATTTCTATCTGATATAATGGATCACTCCTTGTCCAAGAATCTTATGTTTTCAGATCTTAAATTTGATGACTGGAGGATCCGGATGAAAGCACATCTCTGTGCCCTGCATGATGAGATGTGGGAGGTTCTGGACATTGGCCCCTTCACTAGCTTCCAGAAGGTCAATCCTGAACATGCCATAGACAACACCAGACCCCAGATGATCAGCAAAGCCAAGTCAGAATGGACCACTGAAGAGAGGAGAAAGTACAACCTAGACAATATTGCCAAGGACATCCTCTACAAGTCCATTGATGATAGGTACTTCAACAGAATCAAGAAGTGCAAGACTGCTAAGGAGATCTGGGACACTCTTGAACTCATTGGAGCTGGTGATGAGCAAGAGAAGGACAACAAACTTACCATAGCCAACAAGAAGTTTGATGACTTCAAACTTCTCCCTGGTGAAAGCATCTCCAAGATGTATGACAGGCTCCTCACTCTCACTGGAGAGATCTCTGAGCTTGGCAAGGATCTCACAACCAAGGAAATCAACCTGAAGGTGTTGAGGGGACTGCCCTCAGCATGGAAGATGAAGGTAGTTGCTGTCCAAGCCAGCAAAGATGTGAAGACTTATCCCACTGATAAGCTCATTTCAGATCTCAAAGCTCATGAGTTTGAAATGATTGAAGAAAAGGAAGATGTACCAGAAGAGAGGACCACTACAGCCCTCACTGCCAGCACATCTAAGGTAAATGATTTTGACCCTTCAGTACTTTTATCTGATGAATATATGGCTGCCTTTGCCAGGAGATTCAAAAAGTTTATGAAGAATCCCAAAGATGGAAGGAGTCCATCTTTCAACAGAAAGCCATACCAGAAGGTCAAATCAACAGAAAGCAGTGGAGAGCTTCTCTGTTACAACTGCAGACAACCTGGTCACTTCAAGGCTGATTGTCCCCATCCTAGAGTGTCCAAGAAGCAAGGACAGGATGGAGAAAAGAAGAAGTACGAGGACAGCCCCAGAAGGAGGAAGGCACTTGTGACAGAACAAGTGGAGAAAGACCCTCTGTCAGAAACAGAATCCAGTTCTGACTCAGATTCTGGTGAGGCCTTCTGTTGCTTGAATACTGAGACAGAAGACCTTTGCCTCATGGCTCATTCTGATGATGAGGTAACCTCTACTTCTGAATCTAGTTTTTCTTCGGTAGGCTTAGCTTTTGATTCTGAGTCAATGTCAGAATTTTGGGAAGAGTTTAAGACCATACAAGCCACTTATTCCTCTGTAACAGAAGAAAACAGTAAGTTAAAAGCTGAAATTCTTGACTTAAAGAAGGAGGTTGAGATCAAAATCAATCTTCTAATTGAGGAAAGAGATCAACTGGAGACTGAAAATGTTTCTCTTCTTAAGAGAATAAGAGAAATAGAGCCTCTCGAGATTAAGTACAAAGCTTACCAGAAGGCCCAGTCTTCAATGGAAAAGATTGTGCTTGATCAACAGATTGGCACTGGTTTTGGTCTTGGTTATGGCTCAACAGAATCAGGTGAGCCTTCTGAAATGCCTAGCACCAGAGTTGCTAAGGCAGATAAGGTCATAGAGCCACTGATTTCTAGCCCCATCTGTCAAGCTGGTGTATCTGGCACCAAGGTTGTTCATGAGGAAGTCAGACCAGAAAAGGGTAAGATAAAGGTTCACCAGAAACCCTTTTTGAAAAATAATGAACCTGGCAGAAAACCTAACAACAGAAGAGGTTTTCAGAATAACAAAAATAAAAGACCATTTATTGACAGACAACCTCATGTCAATCGTGCCAGAAGTAATCACCAGAAGGGCAAATATCAAGAGAGAGTTAACTTCAGGCAGAAGAGGTTGGCTGGTCAACTTCAGAAGCCCAAAGTTAACCGTCCCTCTGCTCTTGATAGTATATGGGACTTCTTTCCAACAAAGAAAGCTATGCAAAAGTATGTAAACAGGAAGCATGACCCTCACAAGCATCTGCCCAAAGTGAATCACACTTCTGTCTACTACAACTACCAGGTGGACAATGGGTACCACCCACCAAGGTTTCACTTGATGAGACCAAAATGGTACCAACTACCCAGACTCCATGACCCCCCAGGACCCAGCATTGCTTGGGTACCTAAATCCTTCTTTTGATCTTGCAGGAACTGTGTGCTGGAGCTATCTCTAAACAAGAATGGTTTATTGATAGTGGATGCTCCAGGCACATGACAGGTGACAGAAGTTGCCTAACAGAGTTCCAGAAATGCAAAGGACCCAGAGTTACCTTTGGAGGTAATGACAAAGAAGGTCAAACAAAAGGAAGAGGAAAGCTGATCAAGAACCAGATCACCATTGATGATATCTCATATGTCAAAGGACTGAAGTTCAACTTGCTGAGTGCTAGCCAGTTCTGTGACAAAGGCTACACTGTTGAATTCACAAAGGACTTCTGCTATGTGAAGCATGAGACAACAAAGGAAGTAGTTCTTACAGCATCAAGGAAAAAGAACATCTATGTAGTTGATTGGAACACTGCAAAAGATGGAGTTTGCCTAATAGCCAAGGGAGATTCAAAACTGAGCTGGGACTGGCACAAAAAGCTCAACCATTTGAATTTCAAAACAATCAACAAACTAGCAAGAGAACACATTGTAGAAGGGCTACCAGACATCGTGTACAAGAGAGAGACCCTCTGCAGTGCATGTCAGAAAGGAAAACAAGTAAAGAATTCCTTCAAACCCATTGCTGGAGATCTTTCTACAAGTCCTCTAAATCTGATTCACATGGATTTATTTGGACCTGTTGAGACTCCAAGCGTTGGTGGCAAGAAATACACCCTAGTCATGGTTGATGACTACTCCAGATACACATGGACTGTTTTTCTGACAAAGAAAAATGAAACTCTTCAGAAGTTGCCATCTCTGTTAAAGCAACTTCAGACTGAGAAGAACTTGAAAGTGAAGACAATCAGATCAGACAGAGGAACTGAATTTGTCAACCAAGTCATAAAGGACTTCTGTGATCAGAATGGAACTTTTCATCAACTTTCTGCCGCCAGAACTCCTCAACAGAATGGCGTAGCAGAAAGAAGGAACAGAACTCTAAAAGAAGCTGCAAGAACAATGATTGCAGAATCTGGATTGCCTATGAGATATTGGGCTGAAGCAATCAACACTGCATGCTATACTCAGAACAGAAGCATGATCAACAAGAATCACCAGAAGACCCCCTATGAACTCTGGAAGGGAAGAAAACCAAACATCAACTACTTTCATATATTTGGATGCAAATGCTACATTCTCAACAACGGAAAGGAGCATCTGAAGGTATTTCAAGAAAAGGCTGATGAAGGAGTCTTTATAGGCTATTCAAACACCAGTAAAGCCTATAGAGTACTCAACAGAAGAACCCTACATGTTGAAGAATCCATACATGTGAAGTTTGATGAAAGCACCTCTGTTGAAGAAATAACAGAGACTCTCAAGGAAGTCAGCATGGAAGACAGAACTCCAGGACCAACAGAAGAGGTGGCAGACAACCCTGCATTTCCAACTCCTGCACCAAACCCCCTTCTGTTGAATAAAGATGAAGACTCTGAAGATGAGGAACCAGAGAGACCAAGACAGCAGCTGACAGAACCAGACCTAACATGGTTAAGAGATCATCCTCCTAACCAAGTGATTGGTCAAATCAGAAGTGGAGTTCAAACCAGATCCACATCAAGGAGAGAAGCAATGCTTGCCTGCTATATATCTCAGATGGAACCTATGACAGTTGAAGAAGCTCTTGCAGACTCAGATTGGATCAATGCTATGCAAGAAGAGCTCACTCAGT